TATCACCGCTGAACAACTGCTTGAACAATACTTACATACAACACAATCAAAGTTAATTGTAAAAACATTGAACAAGATGATAAAATAAATATAAGTTGAGAAAATTAAAATAAAATAAGATTGCGATAAAAATTAAAATTCTTTTCATTTATTGCTCATACATTTCATAAAGAGTATTAAAACAATAACCTCATGCGATAAATAGAGCGTTGCATTCATTGACCCGTAGACATGCACAAGGTTGAATAATAAAAACATATTCGTAATTAAAATAAACTAGAGTCCCTATTAGTACATTTCTCTTTTGAAATAATGGTTAAATCTGCCAGTCACTCGTTGTTATTATCGTCATTGCAAAATAATACTGAGAACAAAAAGTTTTTATAAAGTCACAATAACAACGTTAGAAATGTCTATTTCGAAAAAATGGTAGGTACATTACGTCAGAGATTATTGCGAACGTTCAAATTTGGTTATGTCACGGGTTGTTGTTATTTTTAGCGGAATATTCCATGAATCAAGCAAAGTTACCTGTTAGGTCACCCGTTAACGACCCCAGTTCACCTATAGACAGCCTTCAAACGAGGTGAATGAATTTATGATAAATTCAATGACTATTTACTAGGCCTAATTCGAGACAGAAAGGTCCTTCGATTCTCAAACTTGAAATTGTATAAATTTGATGCTTTAAACCTGTTATTTTAATCAATGAAAAATGCATAATCATCAACAGTTAAATAGAAAACAAATGCTTCGTTTTTCATTGTATCAATTGATTTTTTTTTTTCATAAATAAGTAAATTGTGACAATACCATATTTTCAGTTATGACTGAAATTCCTATGTGGCTCTTTCTTTCAAAATTCGTAAACTCCTGTTTTAAGCGGAAGCCACATTCTTTAAACATACTGAAAGATCATGTTAAGAAACATAAATCGCAAATTGAATAAAATTAAACAGTATTTAATGCTAAATAATGATAACGGTCTATTTTTGTGTGGCCTATTGAAGGTCGAAGCGGCAGCGGCGGGTGAATATACCTTGTAACTAGGGTACGTTTAGGGCAAATGAAATGCTCTGTGCTATGCTATGCTATACATAAACAGGTGAACGATTTAAATTGCAAACAGACTCAATATATACGTTACAATCTATTGATACCTGTAGGAAATGCATTTTTTTTATTTAAACAAATGCATACGTGCGCTTTCACAAAGAAATGGCGGATTCTTATGCACAATAAAGTATTTAATCACATGTAAAGTTATCGTTTCAATAAAATCAATGCTATTTATACCTATATACCTACAAAATCTTTTTTCTTGCAATAATGAATACTGATTGTTCGTCATAAAGCACGCATTATAATGCAAGTTCACGGTTATATTGCATATCTATTGATGTTTGGTATTTCTAAAATGTATACTTAGTTTAGTATAGAATAATTTAAAGAGTTTTTAAAGAGCTTATACCTATTATAAGCTTACTGAATAATAGACGAGAGCTTTTCTCATTAATTAAATGTCATCGTTTCATCAAAGAGTCTTAAAGACCGGGCTGTCTGAAATACATAATCGTGTCTGACGTTGACAAAAATTCGCAAAGAATAAGAGTACGGCCGTGCAAACCATTTTATTTTTCTTACACTCTCACTAGCCCCAGAGTACTGTAAGGCTTGTGTAAATAGATACTAACGGATAGATATACAGGTTAATGATATTATGTAGATGAGTATATTCTTGCAGAAATACACCGTGAATTTTGAGTTACCTGAGAAACTTTACTAGGTAATTCAGACAGCGATTTAAGTTATATTTCCCCAAAAAAATCAAGTAAATCAGCTTTTAGAATCTACGTACTTTAAACGGGCAATCATTCCATAATAGGTAGGTATGTTAAATATTTACAAATATGCACCGTTTTAGGATATTTGTTAAACGATATAAATCAATATTTTTGTATAGGGGTGTAGTACGTTTATTGTTTTATAAGTGTTCGCACTATTTTTATTTACCAAATTTTTAAAGTTTCGCAGGTAAATCAAAATTCGCGATGTATATATATACTATGTTTAAACAGCTCTTACTAAGTGCATTTTCTCGTTTTCATCATAAAATATACAAATTTGCCCCATCGGGATTAAAACCAAGAGAACCTTTTGAGTTTATTGAAAGCTCTTTTGAATCGTCCAATATTTTTTCCAACACCCATTCAGTACATCTTTTTGCTAATGAAAAGAATGAATGAGCGCAAGAAGCTCATTATTTATTTAACAGAAGTAGCAACATTTACATAAAATCATGTCGCTACCAATACAACGTGAAAAAATGCAGGTACATTACGACTCCGCGACGGAGGTCAAAATCTATGCAGTCATTAGTAAAATTCGTTAGTCAGCTGTATTGCTTACGGATTTCTGGCATTATCAGGCGAATGATCGTTCAGTGAGTCGGTTCGGTTCAGATAGGTCGCCGGCCGGTCGCCACCTGAGTCAACGATCGGTCGCGCCGACCCGGGAGCCTGCTCAGCCTCCGAACCTTCACCCCTTAAAACCGAACCTTAACCTAAGGAGCCAGGGTAGCTACACACATAATCGGGCCGATTAATCGGTTTAGCCGGGCGGTAAAATAGGATGTGTGTAGATGAATGTTCGGATGAATGGACTCCCAAAAAAAAACATTTTTCTAAATTACTGGAGGAGCTGAAGTGCGCAAGTGGTTAGCGCGTCCGATCTGCGATCGTAGAAGTGAAGCAACTTTCGAAATGGTGGGTTATAGGATGGGTGACCAAAAGATTATTATCTCGAGCTCCTCCGTGACTCGATAAGCACGTTAGACTGTTGGTCCCAGATGTAGTTACAAGTCTTTAGCACCCACTAATCCACACTGGGTCCGTGTGGTGGGTCATTGGTCTAATCTCCCTACTTAATCCACAGGGGAGGCCTATACCTCAGCGATGGCCTCTATCTATGTTCTGTTCTTTAATCTTAGTCTAACAATTAGTCTACGTTTTGGAATAAGGCGGATAATGCTTCGTATATGACAGAAACGATATTTTGCTCACGACGACCCTAGAATCCATTTATCATTTTTGCTGTTTGAATAATAAATTTAAGTAAATTGTATTAAAAAGCAATTATATTAGTAAACAAAGTCTGTCTTCATTATTTCTCTAGTACCGACATATTGATAGGTCTACATTTTTTGCAGTAAATGGGATTCGATGGGCCGGCTAGGCGGCCTGGTCCAGAATCGAGCTATCACCCCATCCGCCCTCGGCATTCATAAGCTTCATCACTACAACTTTTCTTTACAACTTTACTATTTTTTTAAGGAAATGTTATTTGTTTTATCCCATGTATGTGGGAACGAAAAAAAGAGATATAGAAAAGATACCAGATAAAATTAAAAGTTATTAACGAAAAAATACAAAAATCCATAAGATTTTTTTTTTCATTTACGATAAATGAATAGGCATAGATTACTCAAAAAATCTACATGTGAACATTAAGTTAACGGCATTATACTTTAGACAACAAATGCTTCCTTAATGAATACTATGTTTGTACAGTAATAAAGTTTTCAGCAATTTCTATAGCGTCACAGCAATGTAAGTAAAGCACTTACGTACAATAACGACTGTCGATTACGTAAAATAATGCAAACACAGTGTCCACTTGTTATGTATGTTATTTGTCATACACAACAAACTATTTTATTTTTGAATAGCGCATGCGTCATGGCTGTATTTGGCAGGTAGTATTAAATATACGGTACTACTCTCATTCGTGTTGACATTGAATGTTCGAGCCTAATCGCCTACGTAGAATATGATAATAATCATTTGCACATTTTCAGCGTTCCGCAATGACATAATCTGCATAACATACCAAAACGGATACTACCATTAGAGTTATTTTTCCGATGACGATGAGGGCAATACTATATACCATTATGAATGTGATTCCCACTAGTATTTTTTTTCCATTAGGTAGAGAGTTCAGTCTACTAAGGGAGACAAATTTACTCTTTTACTAAGGAGCTCACTCCACAAGACTGGAAAAAATAATAATTGCTTAATTTATGCTAAGTGGAAGTCCTTTATAAAGAGTCTTTGCCACGACCTCCTTGTGCGCTCCAAGATCATGAGACAGCCGGGCGGCCCAGCCAGCCACGGGTGAACGCCTGTATCTTTGAAGGTGATACGAGGTGACGTGATACGAGATGAAGACTAGAAGGGAGCAAAGTCTCATCAGCAGCTTTGTGTGTGGCAAATCTGTATGCTACGTTTATGGGTCGCCGTCGGTTACGCAACCCCCGCCACTTCAGACCGCGCCCTTCCCCAACCCTCGCCATCTTTTCGACTCAATGCTGAGGTCAATAAACCAGTCTAGACTTGTTGATTTTATTGAAACACAACCTGCTACAACTTTTGTTGAACTATGTAACTAGAATACGAATTAATGCTTTCTTGAGCTGAGAAAATCTCTCTTATTTCATTAAAATACCAAAAAGGCTTTAAGGTATAAAAAAAAGTAAAGTTTGAGCAGAAAAAAGTTATCCCATAACTAATAGAAATGATAAAATGACATTTAAACTAGGAAAGAAATATGGCAACGAGGGAAAAGCGAACAAGGATTGGTACAAGAATAAGGTTAAATTTTTTGATATAGGTACTTAATAGATATTATGCCAAGGTACGAAACGATTACTGGGACTTTGCTATTCGTTCATATCGATTTTTCTTGGAAAGGTAGACAATTTGTAAAAATATTGATTCATTGTTGAGGATTGTTGAGGAGAGACAACGTTGCAGTATTCAGCTTGGGAATTTGCAAGGCACTTCATTTCTAGTTCAAAATGCACGACAAAGCGACTTATTATTAAATCTATTTTTTTATCAAAAGCATACCACGACAAGGTAGCAAGTGCATTCAGAAAAACATATAAGTTATCAAGACACTTCTTCTCAATCAGTCGCTCATTGTTTTTTCCTTCACAGGTCACGTAAACGCGGCCCTAGCAGTTCCTGTGACCTGGGCTACGGTGAAAGGGACGATCAGATGAACGAGTGCAACGCAGCCTTGGTCCTGATGTCCCTCAGCTGCTCGCCCAACTCGCCGAGGCCCAGTAAGTGACATGCACAGGAACAACACAACACCAAGCCGCAAGAAACTTTTGAAAATCAGCATCACTCACACACCGACAGTCAGTTAAACATAGGTACCCAATTAGTATCATCATCACACACGCTCTTCGCTTAAAAAATTATCTTAACATAATATAAGTTAAAAAAAGAGCAAAAATAAATAATATAATTGAATATTTCTAGCACTGACACCAATTAGCCTAGCCCCAAAGAGAGCACTATAAGGCTTGTGTTATGGGATATAATTGTACTAGAGTAACAGAACGAAAACATGTACTGATACATATATAAGTTTATTTCTATAGTAATACTTACATATAAACATCCATGACTTAGGTACAAATTCTCGTATTCATAATACTAATATTTTCGAACGAATCGATCTGAGTAGGCGAGGCGACGCTTTGAAAACCGACGTACATGCCCCTCGGCTACAGAGGTCGTCGAAATGTACTCGTACGTATGAGTTTCGTCATGATATATTATGGTCATGGTACGGAGGCTGCTCGAAGATATCTCTTGGACGACCACCTAACATTTACATAATATAATACAATTCTCAGTTTGCATTTTATAATAATGAAATCTAAATAATGTTATACGTAAGAAATTCATTTATCAGATGTTTAATCATAGCTGAGGGGGGGTCTCATTAAGTTTTGTTATTAGAACAGCTGAGATGTAATTTCGCGAATATACTTTTGAAACTCTGCTACAGGTTGTGTTTAGTGGAAAATGTATGAAACGTGGAAAACGTCTAGACGCCAGTCTAGACATCGTCTAGACAGGTATTTGGTGTTCGTATCTCGTGATGAGCCCCGACCATTTGGTCCTTCTTAAACAACTTGAGCATTTCTCTATTTACATATTTAATATGTCTATATATCCATTTATTTATTAAATGAAGCTCGCGACGTAACATAATGACAAATGGTTATTTCCATATCCTGTCATAAGATACTTTGTAATTTGTAATACACACACCTTTTCTCTCCGTACGTATGACTTACCTATCAAAGTTAAGATTATTTGGTTTTATGTAAAATGTAACGTGTCGTTACATTCTTTGCAGGTCATCAAAACTATAATTTTATTACTCTTTTGTTAATTCAATCAATATATTGTGATTAGTTTACAGCCCATCGTCAATAATTAGTTCAAGAAACTATGTACTTGAATGATATAAAAAAAACTTATAAATTATTAGGTTCCTTAGTTTGTATAGAGATAACATACATGGTATAGCTCGAAAGCGGTTTATACTTAGTAACCAACTGCAGTTTACATTTGTAGCGGTAAACAAAGATCTACGAATGAGGAAATATCTATCTACACAACACAGCTAGGCCATTATGCAATCGCAGGCTGAATCCACTCCGCCAATAATAAAACTTTACGATACATCTTCGGCTACGTAGCGCTGCGCCGGCGCGTGTGCGGCGAAAAGCAGTTCTTGTTAGTGAAAGTGACTCTGGGCTCTCTGGCTGGACTCAGTTCCGTTTCATTACTTATTGTAGTTTTGTCTCAATAAGGCGTTAGAGTTGTGCGATTTGATTTAAAGATAATATATGATAATTGACGATCGTACCTTGGTGTTTTCATTAGGTTATTTCCGGTAACCTTTACTCAAACGATTTTCATACTGAGATATGATTACGTAATATTCTTTGTGAGGTATCAGTCACATGTCGTATGTCTCTGCTGTCACAGCTCATTTGGCAAGTAGTTTGGATGGTAGCACAATATTGCCTGTTGCCAGCGCATTATGTACAACAGTTTCTATAATCTTTTTCAATGATTTATAGTTATATTCTGAAGGTACTTGCAGGAAAATCAGCAACATTCTGTATTTTTCTTTTGTTAACACTGAAGCTAGAGATAAAACATTTAATAATGGTATTCAAATACTCAGATCTATTCGTTTACATTCTACTCAACTAATATCGACAATCGCATATCTGTCAGTAGGAAATCATTGTTCATTTGATATTATAGATAAATTAAATCTTAGTACACTTAACTTATTTCTATCAAATGTAAGGGTTGTTTATTCCGTTATTTTCAGTTATTTCACATTTGTACTGACCTCAATTCAACAAAATAAAAAAAACTGTTTTTAGAAAACAAAGCAAAGAAAAATTAAGTGTGAGTTGCAGTACAGAGCTAGTTAAAGTTACATTTTACTAAGAATTTAATATGAAATGACCGTTTACGTTAAAGTAAGTCCGTGCAAGTCACGCTAAGTAATAAAAAATAACAAATATATTGATCCTAAAGAATCATTATGATTTGAAAGTTAGACTTATATTTTTTATAGATTTTCCTTATTTAACTGAGTATATTATGTTTGTTGCGCACGCGCAGGCGCCTGGGGCGGCAGGTCATCAGTGTCGCCCGGGGCCAGCAGCAGCTCGGGGTCATCCTGGCGCTCCGGCACTCCATCACCGCCTCCTGTCTCCTCATCCTTCAGCGACGAGGGCATTGCCATGGACTACGAAGAAGTACATCCCCGCAAAAAGAGAGTGAGTACAAGTTCATTATAAAGAGATGAGACCCCAAACTATGCTTATGTCACAACACTTTCGAACCGTGTGGTACCTATATGAATAGATTAAAAAATCATAAAGTTTCTTAAAAGGAATTACGTTTAAAACACTTTAAATTCATGTCTACGAAAGCCCAATATACAATGTTAAAAACATTTACTCATTTATCTGGCATGAATTCTCTCTTCAAGATTAAGCATCTTACGTGTCCAATTATAACCAGAGTCACAGTAATTCATTTCAAATAATGTAAAATACATTCTAACGCATCACATCGCCACCTTAATCATAAAAAATCAGTATTATTGTAATTATACGATCCCATTTCATAAAGTTGCGCATCACGGAGGAGCGTAACGGTCCGAACGCGTCGTCGTAGAGTCTTAAGCTCTAAATTACGTTGATATGTCGTGTGGAACGTGCCCAGTCACCAGTGCGGACTTCAATTAGACCGTGACACACTTTATGCTTGCTTTCATAGACTGGGAGTTAGGTGTGGGTTAGCTTTGTTCCGCTCAAGGATGGCAGCCTGCTAGCATGAAGACAACGATTTGTGTCACCACAGGCTTTGAGAGACGAACAATTAGATGTTTTATCCCTCTAATGCGATTGTTTATATAGTTTATTTCTATTTTCGAAAACAAGCAAAAGTGATTTTCGCCTAAAGCTGACGAAACTTTTTCGTAGACTTCAATATCATTAAGTTGCAATTCAAACCCGTGACTACCCTTTATGATTCATTTTTCATGAGTCATTACCGCAACAAATTCGTTAACCAAAATCCTGTAGTGTAGCGCAATATTTCCTTTGTTATCTAAGATAATGCATATCTTTATATATTTTATGGCTCGCTCAGCCACTTTCACCTAACAAGACACCTGCCCGCCGTCAGTAAATGCCATTATATCACATCTCTAGGTGTCTGCAATATCTGTTCCTGGTTTCGCAAAGCCCGAGGAGATACTGCTGACCATATTTTGCAAATGGCGCAGCGGTGTTGCGTTCATAAGGCAAATTATAATATGCGCGTGCAAACCAATGCGGACTACATCACCAGGTGTTGTATGTAAGTGGCCATACTATTTAGCTATTTGCGTTATAATATCTTTGGTCCATAGTTGGGAATTGTGTGAAGAAACGCTGCGATTCGAGTTACTTGGCTGTGTGCTCTCCTTAAACAGAAACTTATTGTCTCTTTGTAATGGCCCATCAGTAGATTAAGCAATAAGGAGATAAAGCAGTGTATTATGTCACGGGCAGCATATTGAATTCTGAGCGAAATGAGGAATTATGGTAAGAATCCTGAATGAAGCAAAGGAGTTAAGTCTCTCTCCATTCAACTTTAGCGTCCTTGGACTTTCAGAACTTTCTTTAAATTGAGAATACTTGACATATAATACATGCTTCAGATACAGGTGGTTAAAACAATGTAATTACCTATAAGCGTACAAAGTCGTGTCTTAGATAAAGAGTCAACGACATCCAGTGCATTTGTTTTATGTAGGTACTACTACACTGCACATAACCGACACGTGTTAGGAATAAATTGTAAATGACGCCTCTAAATGACATCTGTTTGTTATAGAATAATAATATACGTCTAAAATGTGTGACTATTATTCATCACGAAAATCTATGCAATAATAAACGCTTATAGCTTTTTCATGTAAGTAGTTAATTTCATTCAATTTTATCTCTTTATTGGACTGAGGCTGACTGAGCCTATTATTTTATTAAAGTTGCATTTTATGTTTATATGTTGACTCATGTCAAATTGTACTACACAAATGTTTATTTTTTCTTATAATGTTTGGTATGAGGAACCTAAATACATCGATTTTACTCCATAAAATTAGAAGATGGCTGTAGTAAATTAATTTGAAAAATTTGTTTTTTAGTCTATGCTTTTTAAACACTCAAAACGCTGTCCACCATGATTGTGACGTCAACAAGTTAGTAAATGTGTTAGTAAACAACTAAACGTCATTGTCGTGTTACTGTGGTGTCTTTCGTCGGACTAAAATATATCAAAAAAAACTTACATCTTGTAGAAAAAAAACCGTTTATTGGTTTTTTTTACTAAAGGAGATTGCTCAGCTTCCATATATGTTTGACCTAAAGACCAATAATCATGAAAAATTGTTTCTTAGATTCGAAATTATATATAAATTACTGTAGAAACGAATATTATTGACGGACACCCCTGAGAACTTCTATAAACCATATACACTGAACATATTAAAATAATAAAAAACAACTAAGTTATATAGTAAAATAGGGAAATGAAGCAAATTACCAAAATTATGGATTAGATTCAGGTATATAGAGCATGTAGATTAACAGATAGTTGCCTGTTTTTAAAGTTAATGCATAAGAGTAACTTTTAAAATCAGGTTACATTTCCGGTTATAATAAGGTACTCTGTGACAGAAACTGTGTGATGATTGTGAATGAGCCACAGATTAGAAAGAATTTTTAAACTCTCGTTAACCAAAGAAAGCTAAGAGATTTAGGTTCTATAGCCATATATTGAGTAGCTTCATTATTTTTGTTATGTTTTTAAGATAACCATATTTTAGATATTTAGTGTATCACGCCTTATAATTTTATTTATTTATTAATTTATAGTCAGGGAACGTAGGCCCATAGATAGATACCTTAAAGTCTAACATATATACATAATGTGTTTATGGAGGTGTTTTTCGAAAAATGTATGGCAATAGACTTTATGATGTCGCCTACCATCTAAAATAATTGTCTGAGCACATTTGCATCTAGTGAAAATAATAATATAGTTGTGGATATTAATACCACAGTGTAATAAAAAAAATGATTTATTTTATCGATCTTTACAAAATAGATTTGTTTTTATGTTATATAAACAACTTCGATCAGTCTGTGGCTGAATGTTACTACACCCATAGCCATTAAAAATGATTCGTATGTTTTCCAAACCGGTAAAATTAAAAGTCCTTTTTAAAGTAAATATATTATGCAAAGGTGTCCGTTGAAATCTAATGACTGTAAATTAAATTATAAATTACGCCAAGAATTACCGTGTATGTCAATATTTTTTGTGCATTTGGGCCAATTTGAGCAATCTCCTTTACGAGTATGCTGGATGCCGGATTTGTGAAAGCAGAAACGACAAAACTCTTTGGCTTAGTAAGTACATTCATAACCGTAAAAATAGTATTTTTAAACTTTAAATATTATTCAATGAGTACTCACATAAAAGTGATCTTTGTTAAAGAAAAGAAATTACTTTCAGACAGTAAAATTATAGGATTTAGCAAGTTTAAAACATGACTGTGTACATATGTAGGTATGTGTATTTCTCTAGACAATTTTTTTGGGGTCTTTAACGATGCGTTTCTACATTCTCGTATAATACAATCATGATAATTATTATATTTATAATGAAATTTATTAGAAATCATGGTTTTATAATATAAATTTAGATTCAGGTTATTTCCTACGTGATTTCGAATTCGTTTGTTTACGATTTTGTTGACGTCATAGCATAGATAATCTATAGATTAAAATTGCCGACAGCGTTTTTGGATGTCCTTGAAAAATCTATTTTAAAATTAAAGTTTTGTAGCATTCTAGGTCAAAAAAAAATTTTTTTTCGGTCTAGTAGTACAATTATTAACCATTTAAAACATATTTCCAAAATGTGTCAAGTAGCCTATTAAGGAATACGTATCACCCCGTAAGAAATGAAAGGTGAAACTTTATTTTATATTAAGTGACTTTATTGTTGTCATTGTCAAGTGCAAAAATTATGATCAATTTAATTATGGGTGACTTTATAAAATCATTAAAGGCAACTTACCGGCGAGCGACCTTTGCTTCTACAAAACCACTCGTTTATTGCTAAATGCATTTTCTGCGGTAACTAGAATATTACTTCGCCTATTTATTACCTCTTGCCAATAATGATACAATAGCTCGTGAAAATAGAATTACGAATTCCTTCAATACTCATTTGTGTATAAGTACCTATGTAGCAGATATTAAGCTCAACTATATATAATTATAAAATAAGTTACTTTATACCGAGAGCCATTGTTTCAAGAGATGTTCACACAACAAGTCTATTGTTTAAGTAATCGTTTCAACAAAGTTTATAAGCTTCTATAGAATTTATTTTTAGACTTCAGCTAGTTTAAATCGCAAGCGATAAGCTGAAATCAGTTAACGTAAATTCATAGCTTTGTGTCGGAATCAATCAGCATAAAATCGTGGGAGTGCAACATAATGCACCGCGCATATAGTATATATTTAACGATACACGTGCGGGGTTCAGTGTGTCGTTCAATGTCAAGGCGCTCTGCGGTCTCGGTTATGCAATAAGACCCATTGTAAAATTGTCATAAATACCGTTTTACGAGTGCGTGAGCTTCGCCTACAGCTTGCTATGATTACGACTAAGTAATGCTCCTCGTGTTACCCGAATCAATAATAGGTACTAGATTCACATGTCATATTCTTAAAATAGGTTTATACTTACCCAATAACATTCCGAATTTCAGATATTATTCGATACATTATATTTGTTTTGGTTGTCTTCCTTTTCTATAAATACATTGTTTATGTTCTCAACTTTTCTCGCAAGATCTCGACTTTCATCAAAAGATTTGATTGGGCAGGTTGTCTCGAAAACAACATTATTTTTATTTATAACATATCTAGACAACCTATGTTGAATCTTTGTAAGTTAATTTTTAAACAAATCAATAGTAACAGACAAATCAAATTTGTGTCTTCTTTTGTGATAAGATTTCTTTAGTAACGTTGTAATCTTACAGCCACTCTGTCTGTATATAGGTCAAGTACAATGTCATCACAATTTATGATTCCGAATACCTCTGGAGCAAGAAAAAACAATTATATCACAAATGTTACATAAGCCGCATACATAATTAATTAACTTTATTGCCAGCTTTAGATCCGATCAAGGTGACAAGAAT